ATTGCATCTTGCATTGTATCAGGTAAGAAAGGACTGACAGCTATTGATAGTTCTGGCCGTAGCCTTTCCATGAACATTCTAGCTTTTATTCTGTCTGGATAATTATTTCCACCGTGTTCTATTCTTCTAAATAATTCATAGATGCTTGCCGCAAAGGTATCAACAGTTTCTCCTGGTAATTGTCTTCTCTTTTCTAATGCTGCTGCCCATCCTTCTTCCATAGCCCTTGTCCTGTATTTCCTTTGGAAGTTCGGAACAAAACTTGCTGCCATTGTGTTAACATCTTGATTATCATACCATCTATTTATATCCCCTTTTACTTGACTCCACCATGTTGCTGCCCCTGCTTTTAGTCTTGGTACTGCCACTGGTATCTTTCTATCATTTGCCACTCTATTAGTAATAAAAGCTTGCTCCATCTCTTCTAGCCATGTTATTGGATCTTGATCCCCTCCATAATATTCAGGATACTTTACATTATTTAATTCAGTTGCAGCTTGTTGTGGTGGCACTATTAAATGTACCGCTTGAGTTATTGCAGCTGCAAGATTCCGTAAGTCTTCCTGATCCATTGGATTCAATTGTTGAAGTTGTTGGTGTAGTTGTAGATTGAAAGGTTGGTCGAGACCTGATGTTGATTCACTATCTGAATCACTTTCTATTGTTGAATGACTTTCTTCTGAATGATTACTCTCGGTATCACTTGGATTATTGTTATCTAGGTTATTGTTTTCTTCCTCACTTGTTTGTTCCGTAGAACTTGGAATTACTTCTTCAGGTGCTAATGTAAATTGGTTTGTTCTTGCTGCTGTTGCTAAATAGTCCCTATATAATTGATTGAAGTCTTCAGGGTATTCTCGATATCTAATACTAATCAGTAAAGCTTGTGCTAACCGTTGAACGTGTTGTCCGTTATGTTCTTCTAATAAGCTTAGAAAAGTTACTACTGTATTGGCTGTGCAATCTCTCGCTCCGTAGTTGTCAACTATCCAATTCCAAAAGATTAAAAATTCTGATGGAAGACCCTGTCGTAATGGATAACAATCAGCACAAGATAAATCCCGATGAATGTGTGATATAGAAATTAAATGTGGGTGCCTTCGATGTAATCTTTCGTGCTCTAAAGTATTTGTTCTAATTATATTAAAGTTCATCCACTAATCCTCGTAAGGATCAAAATCGTATGGTGTTTCGTCTGGAATGTCTTCAAAAGGAACCTCTGGTTGATCAATAATTCTTCTTTGTTTAATTACTTTTGGACAGTCCTCTTCCCAATGTCCTTTGTTCTTGCAGATCTTGCACGAGGGTTTCTTTTGGAAAATAAATTCTATTTCCTCTTCTTCTGTTAATCCTTGTGATGGTGAATCAAGGCAACAATTATTATCGCTAATCAGAGAAGGGATTTTGTTATTAAATGTTGTAGATGGAGAATGCATGTGAGGAAGAGAAAGAAGAGGCGAATTATCCAACAATAATTGATTGTAATTAGTGTTTCTATTGCTATTAAAATTTTCTAAATTATCATCATTTTGTTTTCGAGAATTGAAAAGTTCATACGGTGAACATGTTGGTTCAGAAAATTCAACGTACTAAATAAATAATATTATATTTGGAAAGTCAATAAATGAAAATGAAAACATTAATTAGATGGAACCAAATATGTGCATTATTACTTTTGCGTCAAAGTAATATGGATGAAAGTTACTAGGGATCCTTTGATGGGATTGTTCTAGTTGTGATTTATTATTTAAAAAGTGTTCATTATTATTAATACTATTATCATTGACATTGCCATTACAATTGGTGCTTGTATTAATAAATTTATTCTCATCATAGATCAAAGGTTGAGAAAGTGAATAAGAAGTGTATTGACAGTTATTATTTGATTTGGTATAAGCTGTGCACAATGGTATTAATTTATCACATTCAACCTTTTTGCTTTTACAGTACATGCAAGATACACTCGGATAACCCAAAGCTGCTGCCACTGAAGATTGTGGTGGTGGCATATTAAAAGTAATAATTTTTGAGATAAAAAAAAAGAGAGCCTGTGAAAAAAAATTTGTCTAAAAGCCTGAGAAATAACGATCATTACCAAATAAATTTTAATAATTCGCATGCATTCTAAAAGATTTATTGTTGGTTTTTGATAGGTAGCATGTTTGGGTAATTTATTCCGCAATTTGCCAGAAACGGAAATAATGCTGCAGATCGGGAAAGAAGAAAACCTTATATATTACAGTATTTTTTCCAAATTTGGAATTACTAATACTGTAATGATTAACATCCTAAATAGTAAACTTGCACTACGTAAAAATTTGATTGGCTGAAATTTCTCAAAACATAATATGAAAAAATTTTAATTGACGATCTGTGAATAAATGAGAGAATTGTCAATCAATTTACTATTAAAAAATGAGGGAAATTTAATATTAATTTTGAAAAAAAAAAA